CTGGAGAGGAAGATATCTTGGGAGGAGCGGAGTGGGCGATTTGGGCGGTATCTGCGGATGAGGTTGGCGATGTAGCTAGGGGCAGTGTCGTGGATGGCTTTGTAAGCTTTGGTTAGTATTTTGAATTTTTATACGTTGGGTTAGTGAAAGCCAATGAAGGGATTGGCAGAGAAGGGCAGCAGTCGCTGACTGGTTGGTAAGGTGTATGAGTCTAGCAGCAGCATTCATAATAGACTGAAGGGGGGATAGCCAGTGTAATGGCAGACCAGTGAGGAGGGAGTTGCAGTAGTCAAGGCGGGATAAAACCAAGGCGTGGATAAGTTGTTTTTGTGGTGTCATTGGTCAGAAAGGGGCAGATTTTGGAAATGTTCCGGAGGTTGAGGCAGAAGGATTTAGCCAGTGACTGGATGTGGGGCGCAAAGGAGAGGTCAGAGTCTAGGATTACGCCTAGCACCATGGCATGAGGGGAAGGACCAATGGTTGTGCTGTTGATCCTAATAGTAAAGTCGTGAGTGGGGGATCAGGGAGGAGGAAATTTTACAAGCTTGGTTTTGAAAAGATTGAGTTTAAGGTTGTGGTGTGACAACCATGCTGATATGTCACTTAGTAGATTTGTGATACGTGAGGAGATTTAGGGGGTGAGCCGGGGAGTGGATAGATAGATCTGGGTGTTATCAGCATAGAGATGGTATTGGAAGCCATGGGAGGTTATCAGTTGGCCCAGGGATTTTATTAGGATTAAAGTTAAATCTCTGTCTTGGATATCCTAACACAACATTTCCTAATCTCAGTCACTACCTGTTTAAAGCATCTGCATTCTGACTCTTTATCATGTTGTATTGCTAAATATAAGTGTATAATAATAACTGAATTGATCAGCAGAGTTTAATATATTTTCAGCAATCTGGGATGATTATTGTACAAAAAAATTATGTGGATCTCCAAGTATGTGGGTTTACATCAACTTTAATGGCAAGCCATATGTTTGTGGATCTACTGTCATGTTAACAGCAAAGTATAATCACTTCTGCACTTCATATTTATTTTGAGAAAGAGAGCCAAAAAAGCCCATTTTTCAAAATACAAGCTAACCGCTGAAGGGCAGTAAGCTGTTCATCACAATGCCAGCTCTAGAAGAACTAATAGGGATTTTGAGGTTTGTATGTAATTTACCTTTTTTCTATAGAGGTACAATAGGTGAGGATCTGCTCTTGTCCCCGGTGAACAGGGAAAAGTTCTCTATTCACATAACATATTAAAAGTTAAACACATAATTCAACTTTTAAAGTAGTATTCATATCAAAACACTTGCATTGTTTGCAAAGTTATTGAAATAAGCAAAATATAATCATAGAAGGTACACTTTTTTATATGCTGGATATCCTCCTTTGTGAGAAAACCTATTAGGAGTTGAATGCTGGGCAGAATACTTCCACATCTTTACCTTTCTATCCAAAGCTGACTGATTTTAAATTTCAATAGAAATTCAGTGTACTGTAGGACTCCATATGGGAGATCAGGTTAATTTCTCACATTACAATTAACGTAATTTTTTAATTCATACATACTGTATGTGTATATGTATTAAAAAAAAAAAAAAAAAAAAAAATATATATATATATATTTTTTTTTTAATTTCAATTTCCCCCCTCCAAATTTCACATTTTTCTATTAGGTAAACAGCTGTTTTCTGAAAATGTCATAAGTGCATTCAATATATTCATAATTCTTGTTGTATTCTTGTGTTTTGTTTTTTTGGAACCACAGATATATATTCCAGACTGGCTATGAATTTTTTTTTTCCACCTGTCAGATGACTTCAGTTTGTACCAACAAGTCATTTCTTAAAAATGCAATATTTCTCCTTTTGGTTTATTCTTACTAATAAGTTTTTTAGCAGTTCACATTTGTCTGTCATAAATATAGATGTTGCACAAATGAGTCAATCTCTAAGATACTAGTTTGGACTAGTATGAAACATTTAGGACCGTAAGGGATGAAAAAAAAAGTGGAAACAAATGATTTTGCATTTTTTATACCCTTCCCACTTCGCCCATAAGGAATCTGAGTAACAAATGAAACACTTATCTTTGCATTAGACTGATATATATCTTTACATTTAGCAGGACTCTAGAAGTCAGGCAGGCAGAGATTGAGCTTGGGGGTAGGGGTGATGAGGTTCTATCCTATGCACTCTATGAATGCATTTTGATAGCCAATCACACCAGGACGCTGCCAGCACTACAGCCTCTAGATAACATGTTACCTTGAACTATCATTCACAAGATGCAGACTTTCTAAGCAGAGATTGGGAAGACAGTGACAGGAGATACACAACAATATCCCTTAGGGAGTTTTGTGCCTAGACATGCATTACAGTCATGTGTTACATTTTCTCATTTCCGTATAAATAATAATAAATACACTGTGCGGAGAGATTTCAATATGCAGAGCCGTACCACAAAGATAGGACATCACTGGCTTGGCAGCTTCTTTTTGAGAATAAAGACAGCCTGTTTCTCAACCAACTGTCCATTGATTAATGTCCTCACTTAATTTCACCCTATCCAATAGATTCACTAATATGAGCAGATTGGCCAGCACCCATAGGGGGGTGGGGAATGACCTTACCACCTCTTGCAGACAACAAGGCCAATCAACCTTTAGTAATTGAACATTAATGGACTTGGGCAAGAAGAGACTCATCTCCCACGGGGAGTCCCCAGGTGGTAACATAGTGAGGATTCTCATTCATATTCACTTGGTGATTTGTGAAGAAAGTGAGTCCCGACACACGTGCCCAGCCAAAGCAATGAGGGCTGTGGCTGCAGTGTTGAAATGTACCCCTTCTGCAACTCGCATTTACTGTTCTATTGACATTACAGTATATCTTAATTCCATAGTTTTCTTCACAGCTGTGCTCATGGGAAACCTGTGTCTTTCATAGCTCTTCCTTAACCCAGGCAAGTGTCTCACCTCTAAATTTATCTTCAAGCACCCATTCTCCTACACACAATCTCCTCCACTGACACACAGTGTATCTTCATAACCCATGAAACTTAAAAAGACAACCTGTGCCGTATATCTTCATAACCTCTCCTGTCACATATGGATCCACACTTCTCCCTCCTGTCTAGAGATGGCCATTTCTGATCATGAATTTTCACACAATTACTTCCTTGGCTACATACTGTCAAACTTTTTATTATGTCTGCCCTTCCGTAACTTGGATTAACCTTCTCAATGCCACCAGGAAACCCCCTAGAAATTAGCTAGTCTATTCATCTTGTGCCTTGCCCTGTTACTGTTAGTACAGATATAAAGCTTATGATTGATAATTAAATGCATATCAAAATGTTAAATACGTTTTGCACGTTAATAAAATATATTGTGCCCTGTTTGGTATGTATACTATATTACTTGTTTCCTGCTTACAGGAACCTTGATATCAGATTTCTACTATGACATTAGTATTAAAATTTAGCATAGCATCTTGTTTTATCTTGATCAGGGTATCAGTTTGAGTGTCATTATGTTTTAGGAGACTCAAGGCTTTAGTCATGTTTTACTAATCTAACAATGTGTGGATGGTTAACTGGTGTCCACTAACTGTGGAAACTATTCGGTCCTCCTGTTGCATGTAAGGTGGCATGTTATTATGGAGAGATTAAAAAAGGGTGAGCGACTTTTCAGTTTATTTAGGAAACCCAAACACAAAAATACAATACAAAATAGACTTTTTAGCTACATGGCAATATTGACATATATCAGACAAAATATTTTATTGCACAAACAAAATTACATTACTGCCTGCATGTTGTATTGGTGTTTATCCAAGTACATGATCCCACCATACCTGTATTTGACATAGAATCAGCCACATTTCATCCCCTGTATGGCAGCACTTAGATTCGGTGAGGAATTAGCAGCACTTAGAACCAATCAGTTGGGCTCCACTGTACATAAGTTGATGAGGAACATGCTAACAGAAGAAGGAGAGAGATGACCTCATCAGTCTCCTACTGATCCTACGCTATTCAGTCTGGGGGGAGGAAGGTGGGGTATTGGTATTGTGTAACTGAAATAGAAAAACGTCAGCTCATCAATCTGACTGCTAGGTGGGCTGCATAAATCTCTGGATTGGATGGACAAAAATTTTAAATTTTGGCAAATGAATCAGCTTTCACATTGTATGCGTTTCAACTATATGTTTAGCTCTTTGCCTGGATTTAATTTTTACATATTGTTAGAGACAAAAGAACAGTAATAAAACTCAGTTTCACACTTGGGAATTTGTGTGAATTAATCTCTCATTTACATTCACATAAATCAAATATTTGAGATGAAATTACAAAAACAGCCCTGCCCCTTATTTCTAGTTGTGCTGTCACCTACCTGACTAATAAATTAATATCCATTAGAGGTACAGTATGTATGATATCTAAAGTTTGGTATATAAGTGAGACACTTCCCATTTAGTCTCCAAAATACACTTTAATTTAAAGCAAATGTAAACCGATGAGATTTATTTATTTTTTTTAAATAGTAAAAGTTTATTGAAGCTGTTAAAGTATACAGAGTTGGAATAAGATACAGACAATCTTGATCACAGCATAGTAAATATGTAGTGTGTGTAGGCATATTCCAAACAGTCAAAACAGGCTGCATTTTCTACAGTATGCAGAAATACTAAAAGAATACACAAAACTCCATCATCTGAAGCAGGATAATGAGTTGCAAGGTGATCCTTGGGAAAGAAAGCTAATGAGAGAAAAAGGTATTGGAGGGTCTGTAGGCAGTATGAAAAGGGGAAAGGCAGGTGAAGACATGATATATTAGGAAAAAGATTACAAAGGGAGGAGGATGAAGGAGGAAGCTGAGGATCCTGCTTGATGTAGGTTATAGTTAGAGGGCTGATAATTCTTGGAGTCCTGTGGAGTCCAAAGAAATGACCCAGATATCCCATGTATGCAGAGTACCCAGGGATGGACTGACAACTCATGGGGCCCCCGGGCAATAGGGGATCATGGGGCCCCTGTGTCCTTGCCCAAATTCAAAAAAGCCTATGAAAAAGGTACCAGGGGCATCTCATGGGGCCCCCTACTGACCCCGGGCCCTCCCAGTACCCGGGCCCTCGCGCAGTACTGTGTATTGTACGAGTTTTCAAACGGTCAGTCTGTCCCTGAGAGTACCTGACACTGTGTATTGTACAAGTATGTGTGTGAGTTTTTAGAGCCACATAGTAGCTGTAAGTGTGGTTTTTCCAAATGCAAGGGATTATTGTTCTTTCCACTTGTAAGAAAAATCCAAGAAGGCATTTTTTTTAGCACTGGGCATAAATCATTCCAGAATTAAGGAGAGAAAGTTTCCAGGGACATAGAAATGCAAGAGCGAATGACCTGTTTGTGAAATATTGACACAAAATCTACTTATCTCTAATATTTCTGCATAGAGGGGCATTGCCACCACACATAAAGCATAGTTCCCAATGCATTGTTGCATCTCCAGCAGAGATAAGAGGTAGTTGGATCCCACAAGCTTTTGTGGTTTGTCACATGGCTTTTGGCATTGCAGTTCGACTTTTCTTATTCTCTTGGAGACATTGTTTGTAGATTACAGGGGTTTTTGTGGGCAATAGCAAACTGTATCCGGTAGGTTTATTAGTATATATTTGTTTTGGCCAGTTTGACATTGCTTTTGATCATGCTGCAGGTTTTACATTAAAGAGGTGAGTGAAGTTATCATGTTAACACAAATGTCTTTTCTGTGCTCACAGCATATTCAACCCCCAAGTGACATCTTCTCAGTACAGTCACACGGGGACTTCTCTACACTCTATAAACGCTTGGTAGCGCACAGCAGTCGAAGTGTAGAGGTAGCGTTTCAACAGTCCCCATTTGCCTTGAATTTGCGAATTGATGTCCTAAGGTGTCTCTTGGATGCAATGCTTTCTTTATAGCCATTGTGTTTTTGTGAAAGAAATCACCTCTTCTGCTTGGCCTTATGGTTCCAGCCTCTTGTAGTAAATGTCTAGAAGGAGCTGGAGTATTCATTTTTCCAACGTTGGTGCTTATTATGCTTGATTGCTGCCGGACTGCATCCAAGTTTTCAATATTCAAAGGTCCCTAGAGATTGCAATGAAGAAACCACATAAGAACCATTTACTACTGATACAAATTGATGTCTTTACAAACGTCCTTGTATGGGTCCCAAATACAATTCCAAATTGTAGTCCCAGAAACCCCTAAAATGGACACATGGCTGTTGGGTGTAAACCCCAGTCCCATTGGGCTGGAAATCCTTTAGTAGGTGCCCAGCAGCAGTCAGTGGTGAGCATGGAGAAAGACTGGAAATTTCCACAGCATATGGCTGTAGGGATCAGAGAAAGATGTGTGTATGTGTCTTCATTTAAAGGATAAATTCACCTTTTAAAAAAAGAATAAATGCACTTCTTTTTGCATTTTAAAAAAAAATGTGCATTTGTTATTTTTTTTTATTAGAAGCCTGTGAAGCATTGAACCCATGACCAGCAGATTGCGGTTGCAATGCAGGGCTCCTGAAGACTGTCAGTGTAACCTGTCTGCTCATACCTTGTACAGGCATGCAGTTACACAATGACAGGATCCATCAATAAACTACATAGAGCACTCACCAGTGCTCTGGTATTTCATTGAAAACTACAAGCTGTCAGCTACAAAGGCTGCCGTCCCATTCACAGAACTCTGTGAATGAATGACACGGCCAGTCCCACACATTTGGGTTTTTTAAAAATTGTGACAGAGAGTTTGGGGAGAATATTCCCAGCTCGCTGTCACTAGAGGCTGCAGCAGATAGGGGAGAGGCTGCAGCAGTGAGGGGAGGGAAGTCAGTAGGATAGAGGATAAGTAGTTCTCAGTTGTGACCCATAGCTTGTCTTTACAATGGTGTATTTAGTCGAGTATGTTAGAAGAGCCAATTTTAGTACAATTCCTATTGAGGAAGTCCCACACCTCCTACTGATTTACATCTAAGACATCATATTATCGTTGGAAACTGATCAGGCCCCAGTGTCTTTCAGTAGTGCTGTTTTCAAAAGATTTTTTGCATTTTGGAATCAAGATTGACCTTGCAGGAATGTATAAATTATGAAGAGGGCCATATGGCTGAACCAAAAATATTTAATTTGGGACCATGCCAAGAGTCTAGTAAGGGTATCCTGGAGGAGTGGGGAGGGTTTTAAGTTGTACAATGTATTCAAGCTGTCAGGGATTTGCAGGGTCGGCACTAGCGCTAGGTGAACTAGGCAGCCAGCTAGGCTGTAGCCATGGCCGCTGGTTCCCCCTACTCTCCACCTATTTAAGTTTTCAGTGCTGTATAAATACCTCTGTAACTAATGTTATAACCGCTAGTGGCTGCTGCTGGGATGAAGTGTGCACATCTAGGAGGATGCAGGGGATGCCTATGCAGCATGTAATTCAGGCAGCCGCTCAGCAATGTCGCAGCACTGGAGGACATGTCCTGACTGAAGCAGACATCCCCTGCACGCCTCAATCAGTGACCAGTCTCTAGTGATCATCCCAGTCCCATTACAGCCAGGACTCATTTTCTGGACCCAAGGCCGCTGGAGTGGACTGGCTGGAGCTCCAGACCGTCTTCATTCCACTATGATAGAAGGAAATCCTGTGATCGGAAAGAATTCCGGTAGTGGATCTCAGAGCAGGGCTTTCAAGCGAGCATACACACAGCAAAGGAGTACACACTCTGTCCTCAGTCAATGGAGTCAAGAATTGAATGAATGTTACCCTTAATTGACAAGGTTAAACTTTAAAGCTGTCCAAATGTTCCCTTTACATACTTAAATCTGCAGTCACATGACATTCTGAGCCCAAATATTCTCAAATATTTTGTTTACAGGAGGTAAGGTACTTTTTTGAGTGCCCAAGTCATTGCCTACATGATATGGACACTTCCTATTGGCTTTCCAGTGGTGGGGTCCCCATTGGATCCAGAAGAGGAGTCTAACTGGTGACATCAGTGCTAGTAGACTGTAGTGCAGGCACATCTTCAGCACTGAATTCCCCATGCCTGCACCTGGAAATAGTGCTGGGGGAGTCTGGGCGGCAAGTGTAGGTGAGTATAACTTCCTTTAGAAAAAAAAAAAGAAAAAAAATGAGATGGGTGGAAGGGATGGGTGGGAGTTGGGCTATGTTTCATCCTGGAGATGAACTTTAAGATTCCAGCTTTGCAGAAAAATAGGTTTGTTCAGCAGGCATGATAGCTTTTAAAACATGTATTATGATTGATGCCCATGTTTTCAAAGCATGTATCTTAAAAATTTAAGTTAGCCACTAAAAGGTATTAGTTTAATTTTCAATTTCTGTCTTTATCAATGGATAGCACAGTATAACTATACTCCAAATAACTCCAAATAATTGCATCATGACAGTACACATTGTTTAAGGTCTGTGGGTGACTTAAACTTTGTCTGTTGAGTTCAGCAGACTTTAATAACAGCTCAGCAATTTCAGGGGTTGAATGCTACACTTTTCATTCATATCACAACCATCTAAATGTACAGTTACATTGCAGTATATGATTCTTAGTACTGTGGGGCAGATTAATCAAGATCGGTGTCTTACTGCAATAGGGCATTGCATTTATTTTCATGGCAGAACAGCTGTTTTTATATAGTGGCCCCTGAGAGAACTGTTCTTATAGGCAGCTGATTAAATCCACAAAAAGATAATTACAACAGGCCAAGGTCAGAGCACAATGGACCCAGGGATTGAAAGCGCAGTGCACAATTTGCTTCTGATTTAAGAATGTAAAAAGTGTGTTTAGTTGGGATGAGCGAAACGAAACTGAAAGTGTTTATATGCCCAAATATCAGCAAAAATCAGGAAAGTTCTAAAAAATTCTGCAGTTTTTGCCTAAATGCAGTGGAACCGATAGAAAAGGTGAAATTAAGGCAGTATTTAAGGGTGCAATAGATTTAAATGTCTTATAAAGGTGCGGTAAGATATTTTCAAATATCTTGGACCTGTTCTTGTGCCAAACAATAACTCCTTGTTAACCACATAGTTTTACCTTATTTCTTAGAAATAAATAAGTAAAATATGAACATTTAAAGCAACAGCCTACTAATAAACATCAGATGCACACAAACACTTGCATCAGAAAGAAAAGAAAACACAAGTACAAAGAACAATAAAGTGAACTAAACCACTGTAAATACACCCCTTCCCAAAATACCCTTTAGATAAAGAAAAAAATATTTTTATTCAAGCAAATTTTTCTCAATAAGCAAACATAAGATTTTTTCCACCTTGGTGAAATGTCTTTAAAATACTGATTATTGCAACAATTATTGATCAGAATACTGACGCAAATAGAATCAGCATACTGACACAAAATCAATTTCTCTAAAATACACTTTTCTCATCCTTGAAATAGAAGAGGGCATTAAGTCAGTAAAGTAATTGTTCACTTAGCTTAGTAAATAAGGTGAGGCTGGGTTCACTTTGGATATCCAAACATGTACAAAAAAAAACAGAAACATGAAGAAGAAACAGAAACATGTTGGAGTTTGAAGAGTTTTGAAGAAGAGCCAATATCTGGTGAATGAATAATATGTGGCCATATGGAAATTGTGTTTGGTGAGGATTATTGCTTGTACATGATTGGATGATTAAAACACACACAACTATACCTTATTCATTAAATCAAAGGAACATTTTATTAATTTGCTGAGTAATCAGTCTCTATTCCATTAATAAATCAGTTGTAATGAATAAGTAAATATAGATGTATAATGCATTTATAATTCAAATACAAGGGACATAATTACAGACAAAATGTTCTTTAAATAGTGTAACTTGTAACTTTGTTACAAACTTTGTCACACTGCTTTGAAATGGGAATACTGATAGTGTATCTTAGCCCTTGAATCTCTGTCTTCTTGACAACTTTACATTCTTGACTTAAAGGCCAACTTTAGCTACAATTTGTATTATCAGGATCTCAGTTTTATTTGCTACATACATTTTTCTATTATGCTTCCTTCTCAGTATCCTTCTCCTCCATCTAAATGGTACTCACTCATACCACAAATGGGTGTCAATCTTTCTGTTTTGTTGGCCACCT